AATGTACTCAGTCCCTTACACACAGGAGGAGATGGAGAAAGATTTCAAAGCATTTCTAGAACTTTCATTTGAAGAAGGATCTTTTCTGAGAAGATTTATTAAAGTATACAATGGTATGAAAAGACTTGCTGAGTTATCAGTTTCCAGCTGTGAACACCTCCTGCAGAACAAAGAGCTCATCAGATATCTTGAGGAGAGCAAGTTTGATGCCATCCTTACAGATCCTGTAGTGCCTTGCGGGTTGATAGTGGCAGAGCATCTTTCACTTCCCTCTGTGTTTTTCTTACGAGGAATCCCATGTGGTTTAGATTTTGAAGCCACTCAGTGTCCCAGTCCTCCTTCTTATGTCCCCAGGACATTCACACAGCTTACCGACCACATGACCTTTCTCCAGAGAGTGAAGAACCTACTCTATGATATCCCAAGTTTTTTTCTCTGTGATTTTGCCTTCCAACCATATGAGAAATTGGCTTCTGAGTTCCTCCATCGGGATGTGACTGTGCTGGATCTCTTACGCAAGGGTTCCATTTGGCTCCTGAGGTTAGAGTTTGTTTTAGAGTATCCCAGACCTTTAATGCCCAACATCATTCCAATTGGAGGAGTCCACTGTGCTCACAAGAAGCTGCCTCAGGTGGGTCATGCTATGTGCGTAATCCATGGTGTGATTGAGTTGTGTGGTCTCCAGTGTGGTGCATATAATTATCAGCTTCCCATCGGGGCTGACTTAGACAAGTGCTCATAAAAGAAATTCTTGTCCCCCTTTCTCCCTTGATTTCCAGTTTTTCTGTAGGAAGCTGTAACTTCTCACAATAAAGCATACTCTTTTGAGAACTTTTTCCCTTCATGTATTCTAATCCATTTTGTGTTTGCTTGTGTAACTTGGTTCTCCCGTGTTGAGTGATGGTTGATCCACAGGCACATCCCCAGGGCTATCAATGCCTTTCAGTCAGGTGCCATTCCTACAGTTGTTGTAGTAGGGTCTGGTATTTCCTTCGAACTGCACATCAGGCTTCTGCCCTGGTGCAGCCCTGTTTCCCTACCACTTCATAGAATCATAGAATCAACCAGGTTGGAAAAGACCTCAAAGATCATCGAATCCAACCCTACTCTGGTTACTAGACCATGGCACTAGGTGCCACATCCAGTCTCATCTTGAAAACCTCCAGAGAAGATGAATTCACCACCTCCCTGGGCAGCCTATTCCAATGCCTGATCGCTCTCTATGTAAAAAATCTCTTCCTAATATCCAGCCTAACCCTCCCCTGGCAGAGCTTGAGTCTGTGCCCTCTTGTCCTCCTGCTGGTTGCCTGGGAGAACAGACCAACCCCCACCTGACTCCAACCTCCTTTCAGGGAGTTGTAGAGGGTGACAAGGTCTCCCCTGAGCCTCCTCTTCTCCAGGCTAATCACCCCCAGCTCCCTCAGCCTCTCCTCATGGCACTTGTGCTCGAGTCCCTTCAACAGCCTTGTTGCTGTGTCTGCATCAGTGAATGGGTCTGCTTCTTCACATGCATGATCCAGTGCTGGAATCATGAGGAATGTGGCAGGCTGTGGGCTCTCAGGGTGAGCAGCACCACCTCTCTTTGCAGGCATGTCTCAGAAGGGTTTGACTTGGTAGTGTCTGGGTGAGATCTGCGAATGGAATCAAGATGGAAGGGGCTATGGTGGCTTGGCAGGTCCTGCTCATGTGACAGAGCTGCCAAAGCTTTTTTATGGAAAATTATGAGGCTTATCTTGTGCATCCACCACATTTATTAGCCATCCGCGTAGATCACTGAACCCTGCCACTTGCTGTGCAGCCTTTTACTGAGCCAGTGATTACACATTTACCACACAGCAAACAAAAGAAGGATCAAAAGTTAGGCTGTAGCACAGATTGCTTAAAAGTGTGGAGCGGGTGCTGGTCCTTCACTGCTGCCAGGGGCTTCACTCCTTGGAGGCACTCTCCGGATTTCTGCAGACATGGCTCCAAGGCTCTCTGCTCACCTGCAAGTCACTGTGATGCTGGTTCTGCTGCTGTCCCTGCTGGGTTTGGCTGCTGGTGGGAAGCTGCTGGTGGTGCCAGTGGACGGGAGCCATTGGCTTAGCATGCTGGAAGTGTTGGACAGTCTGAGGCAGAAAGGACATGAAGTTGTTGTTGTTGCACCCGAAGTCAGTTTGCACATAAAACCACCAAAGAATGTTGTGATGAAAATGTACCCAGTGCCTTTCACACAGGAAGAGCTGGATGAAGTTTTCCAGGGGTTTACAAAAGACTTATTTGAAGAAGGATCTTTTCTGGAAAGACTTGTTAGACTTTATCAGCGGTCAAAAATAACCTCTGCTCTCTTCCTGGCTACTTGTACACACTTACTCAACAACACGGAGCTTGTCCGATACCTTGAGGAGAGCAAGTTTGATGCTGTCCTTACAGACCCTATACTCCCCTGTGGGCAGATATTGGCGGAGCATCTCTCACTTCCTTCTGTGTTTTTCCTGCAACAAATGCCATGTAGCTTAGAATATCAAGCCACTCAATGCCCCAATCCTCCTTCTTATGTCCCCAGGGTATTTACAGACCATACAGACCGCATGACCTTTTTCCAGCGGGTGAAGAATCTACTCTATGACATCCCAAATTTTTTTCTCTGTGATGTTGTCTTCCAACCATATGCACAAGTGGCTTCTGAGTTCCTCCATCGGGACGTGACCGTGCCAGATCTCTTACGCCAGGCTTCCATTTGGCTCATGAAGACAGACTTTGTCTTACATTATCCAAAGCCGTTGATGCCCAACATGATTTTGGTCAGTGGAGTAAACTGTGCTTACAAGAAGCTAAATCAGGTGCGTCAGACTCTGGTTTTTTCTGCCCATTCTTGCAGGCTTTGTTGTTCCCCTAAAAGCTGCAACACATGTTTTGTTAGAAAGTTCTTTCTGTGGGTGATAGTAGGAGGATTTCAAACTGCTCCTTTGCACAGAGGTGCTGGTTCTGGTATCAGGCATCTGATTATCACAGTATAAAGGTGGAGAAAATATTATTATGTAATTATCTCTGGGAAACTCCCCACTGGTCCTGTTCCCCTGCTCCAAGCCAGCTTTGGCATTAGGGCACGATGCTCCGCAGCTCTTCCCTTGAGGCTCTTGATGTGTTGCAAGACACACTTTGATTTGAGGGGACCTTCACTCATCCTCTAGTCCAGCTTGCCTGATTTTCTCTACATTTCTGTCTTTTTTTTTTTTTTGTGTGTGTGTGTCTTTAAAGAAGGATTCTCTGTGCTTTGAATTGTCTTATAGACCACTTTCATCCAGAAGGTCATTTGAGGCCTCTCAGTGAACCTCCTGGTCAGAGCACAGCCAGTTAGGTCAGGTTGTTCCTTTCTCTGTTTTGGTGAGTTTGGAGTACCTTCTACAACACTTACAGTGAACACACTTGATTATAGCCAATTAATGCCTGTATCCAATTCAAATTTTCCATGTTGTAGCTTTGGGTCACTTCTTGCTCTGGCACTGTAATATCTCATATTCAACTTCTTGTCCACTTTTTGTCATTTTCTGCAGATCTTGTCTGTCCAGCTGGAGTGCAGCCTGTCCTGGGGCATGGGATTATCCCATCCCAGCGGCGGAACTTTGCTGGCTTTCATGACTCTGCTGTTATCCCATTTTCCCAGCTTGTGGCATTTGCATATCCCAGGCCAGTGATGATCCTTATTCAAAGTATTAACTGGCATCATAAAATTAAAGTATAAGTTAGGTTACTTTATTTGTATGCAATGAAAGTTGGATTTATTTCAGCCTTTTCTTAATGTGTTTTCAAATACATTTTGTGGTCTGCTGAGTATCAGCATAGCTTCTATTATTGGTTATGACTATTCCTGTTGATTTTTTCAGATATTGGCTTTGCAAAACAGGGAAATAAGGCGGATTTTCCAGAGAAAGTTGAATCTCACACAGTAAAAATGAAGAATTTTTGAAGAGAATTCAAACTTAGCACTCAAGATTAGAAAAGCAGCTAAACCTATGGAAAGAGCTATAGCAGAGGTCTGTAAAAATATGGAAAGGTGTAGCAAAGGTGAAAGGGGAACTGATAGGCAGTTTCCCCTAATATTTGGCCTCTGACTAACACTGAAATGCAGTGAGCTTAAAGCAAAAAAACAGGCACAGAACCCCTAAATCAGCCTCTGGACAGCAACGTGTTTTTTGTGGTAAACAAACCCTATGAATTTAAAATGGATTCAGGTGGTTAATAAGAGGTGCAGGCTTACTTCTAGGGTTTGTAGACTTCCAAGAGAGATAACCATGGATTTTCCTGCCTGGGATGTTTGCTGTACCATTTCCAGCTTCCAGCCTTGGCACCGAACTCTGTACTTTAGCTTTACTTTCCCCTGCTATCTCCTTTCGCCTTCGGAATGGGCTGAACTTATGGACTTCAGCCTCATAAATATGTGACTCATAAATATGTGAAAGGGTGTTCGTGTGTTGCTCAAAATCCAGTGTCACAACTATTTTTTGAAACTTTTATGAACTTATACAAAGCTTTTTATGAATGTGCCTCAAAGGTTTGGGTTGGGGTTTTTTACCCATTTAGTGTTGTTTTATATCAGTGTCTCATAGATGATACACGTTTGGCTCAGATGTTAGCAGAACTTAACGACTAGTTGGAACTGACTGTGTATGAAACATGAGATGTGAGGGGCCTTTCTATAGGGTAAGAGTGTGTCTGCCACTCCGAGTTTACTCTATGAGTATACACTGCCACCTTAAGGCATCTGTAATGCCGCATCGCCTTGTGTCACGCGTCGGTACTGCAGCTCTGGCACAGGAGAATCCCTTCCCTCTGCCTCCTTTAGTTTTTGATCTTTTAATATCACCTCACTGTAAGCTAAAGTTCGGCTGAAACAGCTGTAGAACGGGACTGTGTCAAATCCCAGGATCGTTAAGGTTGGAAGAGCTCTCAAAGATCATAGAATCATAGAATGTAAGGGTTAGAATGGCCCTTACAGATCATCCAGTCCCAACCCCCTGCCATGGGCAAGGACACCTCCTCACTAGATCAGGTTGCTCAAGGCCTCATCCAGCCTGGCCTTGAACACTGCCAGGGTTGGGGCAGCCACGACATCCCTGGGCAACCTGAGCCAGTGTCTAACTACCCTCACAGAAAAAAAACTCCAACCTAGAAATCCCCTCCTTCAGTTTGAACCCATTACCCCTTGTCCTGTCACTGGAGTTCCTAACACAGAGTCCCTCTCCAGCTCCTTCTAGACCTATCAGATACTGAAAAGTTGCTATGAGATCTCCACACAACCTTCTCTTCTCCAAGATCACCAAGTCCCTGGACCCAGCACCACCACTGTGTTCATCACTAAATCATGTCCCCAGGTGCCACATCCACATGTTTTTTGCACACTTCTAGGCACGGGGACTCCACCACTGCCCTGGGCAGGCAGCTTGTGCCAATGCTTGACAGCCCTTTTCAGTGAGGAAATTTTTCCTAGTATCTAATCTAAACCTCGCTATGGATGTCTGAAACTCCTTCCTCTACAATGCAATGTCTTTAGATGTTACAATCCTTCTTGCTGACTCGTGAGAATCTCCTCCTCTACAATGCAATGTAGAGGAACATCAATGCAATGTTTAGATGTTCCTCTACAATGCAATGTCTTTAGACCTTCTTGCTGACTCGTGAGAATCTCCTTCTTCAACAGGCCACATGGAGAACCTCCTCTCAAAATGAACATTTTAGGACACGCTTAGTATTAACCTTGGAATAGCCTTGGACTGTACTTATCACTCCCAGGGGCTTTTGGCAGAGATAGCTATTTCATGAGTCAGATTTTCTATCACTCCTACCTGCTCCAAGACAACTCTTCCAGGCATGAAGAAACTGTTTGGAGCTCACTCTGTTCGGGTGTGCTTGGTTGGGGGTGTCTAAAAGCATCAATCTTCTCCACTCAGCTCTTTTTCTGGTGCCATTCTTGTTTTGCTTTTGTAACTTGCAAACTTCTAGCATTCGGTTTTTCCCTAACCATGAAATATGCCTTAATGGCAAGTGAGATCTGTTTGGGCAGGCACTTCTTTTAAGGACAAACTGCAGATATCTGCTTGTCTAGGTTTATCCTGAAAGTTTTCATGTGCCTTTACATGTTTTCCCTACCTAAAGGATATTGTTCTAGGCACCAATTTCATTCACCCGTCTACATGTAGGGGTTCCATTGCTTCACACTGCAGCTTCAACTCAGTTTCTCAGGAATAATTAGGCACTTAAATGCCATTTAGATCGACCTGATTTGGATAGCTAAACAAGTTCTTAGAGTGGGACTGTGTCCCACATCAGTCAGGTCAGCCATGCTGTTAGCCAGGCAAACCTTCAGAACCTCAGGGGCATAAAGCTTTTTCCCAGCTTTTCAGTCCAGATCTCTCAAACTGCTATTTGTTGCCCTGATTATACTCTTTACTGCTACCCAGAAGAGTTTGGCTTGGTCATCATGAAGAATTCAGGAAGAATTTCTACATGGAAAGGGCTGTCAGGCATTGGAAGGAGCTGCCCAGGGAGGTGGTGGAGTCATCAGCCCTGGAGGTGTTCAAGGAACGACTTAGTGCTCTGGTCTGGTTGACAAGGTGGTGATCAGTCATAGGCTGGACTAGATGGTCTGGCTAGGAGGTGTTTTGCAGCGTCAGTGATTCTGTGATCACTGTTACTCCCCATGGAGTATCTGTAGGCTGTGGTCAAGATCAGGACTCCTAATGTGGGTTTGGTGTTCTTTTGCCTTAAAAATCTTAACACATGCAGTTCTGTTCTCCCCTCTTCTCATAAGCACAGTGTGGACTTCCTTTGGCTCAAACCTCAGCCTTTTTCAGTTCTTTTGAAATGTAACTGTTACCAAGAACTTTCAAACATGTTTGTCATGTAGCCTCTCACCTATGAACTCTTTTGGCCCCTCTTGAGCAAGAACCACATGTTCTGCTGCATCATGGCTTTCAAAAAGATGTTTGGCCATGAGTCACCTCTGAACTTTGATGGCCTCTCTTGAGCAGGAACTGCATATTCTGCTGTATCATTGTTTTTATAGAAAGGTGGTTGGTTAATATGTTACCCAAACTTTGGTGACTCTGCTGCTTGGCCTGCCAGCTCCTGCTTACTGTGTGGAACATCCTGCATGAACTCCAGGCACCTTTCTGAGCAAAGGTTGGAGGTTTAGTTCTTTCATGACAATAGTGCAACATGATTCTTATACTCTAAGCTCTCTGGAGAAGCTCAGTGGCCATAAAATTTGATTCCTGACTTGAATCTGGCCCAGAACAGTCAAGTGCACAGTGACTCTCTTGAAACAACCCTGACCAAGGTAAACCCTTCTACAAACAGCCGTGACCTCTGCTAATCAAGGGCTCTGCTAATTGTCCTTTATCATTTAAGATTACTTAAATGCATGGAAAATCTTCATTAGGTACCTCGATAGCACTTTAATCAATGCTTTTATCAGCGTTTAAAACCATATCTTTGAACTCAGATAACCTGCAAACATTTTGTAGAGGTAAACATTAAAGTCCACCACAATATAAATGAGGTACAACTATTTTTTAACTTTCATATGCTGCTGAAAGAAGTAAGAAGGAGCAGTAACTTTCTTTTCCTGCCCCATGACAGTTATGTGGAGGCACCAGATACATGCTGGGCTTGTTCTTTTCCTTTCTTTCTGGAGTCTGGCAGAGGGTGGGAAGCTCTTGGTTGTGCCTCAGGATGGAAGTCACTGGCTGAGCATGCGTATGGTGCTGGAAAAACTCTGGGAAAGGGGGCACGAAATCGTGGCGGTGGTTCCTGATGCCGCTTTGCTCTTGAAAAGCTCTCAGTCCTTCACCATCAAAACATACTCTGTGCCTTACACACAGGAGTTTGTGGATAAATACTACCAGTCCATCGGTGAAAAAAGTTTTGACTTAACACTTACAGTTCTACTCAGGAACATATCAGAACTGACCAGCCTGTTCTCTTCTGCTTGTCGGCATCTCTTGTATGACAAAGAGCTAATGAAGTATCTCCAGGACAGCAAATTTGATGCCATCCTGATGGATCCTGTGTTGCCTTGTGGACCAATTCTTGCTGAGTATCTCTCTCTCCCTTCAGTGTACTTCATGCGTGGCCTTCCATGTACCTTAGACTACAGAGCCACCCAGTGTCCCAGTCCTTTATCCTATGTGCCAAAGACTTTCTCATCCAGTTCAGATCACATGACATTTCCAGAGCGTGTGAAGAACCTCCTGGTTGGGCTTTCAGAGCATTTGCTTTGTTATCTGTTCTATTTAAAATACGAGAACTTAGCTTCTGAGTTTCTTCACAGACAAGTAACGATGCTGGAACTGTTTAGCAAAGCATCAGTTTGGTTGATGAGATATGATTTTGTTTTTGAGTATCCACGCCCAATAATGCCAAATATGGTCTACATTGGAGGCATCAACTGTGAGCAAAAGAAGCTGTTGTCCAAGGTTTGTCATGGCTTACATTGACGGTGGTATGGCATTTATGAGAGCTTAAGATGTGCTTTTTAAAGTGCTTTCTATAGTATGTAATCAAATCCCAGGATGGCATGGGAGTGGGAATCTCAGGATTTGATAGATGATCACAAGGCTTGCCCTACAAGCAGATGAAGAATTTCTCTCCAGGAGAGCTTAGGCCAAGTTGTCTAAGCTGTGCAGCTGCATATAGGTGTAGCTTAGCTTGTTGTAAGCATATCACCATCATATAAGACACTCATGGCATGTTCTGTGTCTAGATGAATGACAAAATAATTCTAGGTTGTATATGATTTAATATCCCTAACAGTTGTGGAACACCAATTAATTGCAGGAGAGCTGATTGAGCAAACAAATGGAAATGTGGAATCATCTCTGTGGATATACCCAGGCACTTCTAGTGTGCCACAGAGCATGGAGCTGTACCAGGGGAGGTTTAGGCTGGATGTTAGGAAAAGGTTCTTTCCCACAGAGGTGTTTGGGCACTGGGACAGGATTAGGTTGGGTATCAGGAGAGGGTTCTTCCTCCAGAGGTGTTTGGGCACTGGAACAGCTCCCCGGGGCAGTGGTCGTGGCCCAAAACTTGCCTGAGCTCAAGGAGCATTTGGATAATGCTCTCAGGCACATGGTGGGATTGTTGGGGTGTCCTGTGCGGGGCCAGGGGTTGGACTTGATGATCCTTGTAGAACCCTTCTAGCTCAGGAGATTCTGTGATATGTGTGATCTGTGATTCTCAGGAGATTATGTGCACAAACACCCTAAATCCAGGCATGTGCAAAGACGGCAGAGGGATCTGTTGCCTCTGGATTGGTGCAAGAAGCAGTGTAAGGATGATTGGAAAAAGAAGCCGTCAGGATTGTAACTCTCTGCCCTCCCTGGTTTAAATCTCCCACATGCTGTGCAAATAGTACAGATGTCAGTTCTGTCTTCAGACTGCTGGGGTGTCGCAACAGCAGGAGCTACTGCTAAGCTTGGGATACCTTTACTACTGTAAACTCAGGGTTTTCACTTTCATGGCCACTATGACAGAGCAGTAAGTTTGAAGGTAAACCTTTACAACCCACTGTATATCAAATCTCTGTTAATCTTTGCTTCTTGGTTAGGCTCTGGGGGCACAAAGCAATCTAAAGGTCAGACTTCAGTGCAGAGTTTCATGTCCAGTGTAGTGGACTCAAAGCAGGGAGTTGATCATTAACTGGATGTTAATGATATAGTGATTGCTGGGTCAGTCCCATTCATGACTCTCATTCAGCCTGAACACTGTGTCACTCCTCCCTCGAGCATTTGGATCCTCTGATGTCAATCCAAACATTCAACTCCACCTCACAGCACCCAGTCACTCAAAGCCTTCACTGCGCACAGATGATAAACCCAATATTTACCTACAGTTAAAAATTACTCAAATCTCTCTCTATTAAAAATTAAACACTTACCTTAGTTAAAATTAAAGTGCAAAGTACTCCACGATTCACTCCTCATCCCCTGTCGCAGTTTCATGGCTGTTTAAACTTTGCTGGCAGCACAAAGAAAATGGCTTCTTCAAATCCAGGGCTTCCTTCTCTTGTCTCCTGGGTTGTTCTTTTCCTGCTCCTCTGGACCTTTTCTGAAGGTGGAAAGCTTTTGGTTGTACCTATTGATGGCAGCCACTGGCTCAGCATGCGCCTGGTCGTGGAGCGCCTCAGGCAGAGGGGACACGATGTCGTGGTGGTTGCGCCAGAAATAAGTTTGCGGATAGATGCGTCGATGCATTATACCATGAAAACATACTCTGTGTCTTACACCAAGGAGTATGTGGAGGCTGAATTTAAAAAGATGGGCTACAGGAGTTTGACACCTCAACCCTTCTTGGAAAAGCTCTCAAGAGTAGCAAATTTTACAACCATGTTCTTCGATTCCTGCAAACGCCTTCTGTCTGACAAAGAACTGATCAAATACCTTGAGGAAAGCAAGTTTGATGCTGTCTTTATGGATCCTTTCTTTCCATGTGGGCAGATAGTGGCTGAATATCTCTCCCTGCCTTCTGTGTACTTTGTACGGGGCCTCCCATGCAGCCTAGACTTCCATGCTACTCTCTGCCCAAACCCTCCTTCCTACGTTCCCAGGTTCTTCACCCGCTACACGGACCGCATGGTGTTCCTCCAGCGCGTGGGGAACCTCATAGCTAGCCTGAGCAGTTCCCTGGCTTGCACTTTTCTTTATTCACCCTATGATGCTTTGATCAAAGAATTCCTCCATCAAGAGGCAACGGTGCTCGAGCTGTTCAGCCACGCATCTGTTTGGCTCATGAAATACGACTTTGTGTTTGAGTACCCCAGGCCCCTCATGCCCAACATGGTCTTGATTGGGGGCATAGGCTGCACTCGGGAAAACAAATTATCCCAGGTTGGTTGCCTCTTTTCCCTAGTTTAGCTGTGACTGCACTGTGCGCTCTCTCCATGAGATGGAGCTCCCAGGCAGTCCTAAACGACAGCTGAAAGGAGGAGGTTGAAAATGGCTAAGAAAGCACTTTGCACCTCCGTATGCATCTCTTGAGCAACGAGTAAGTTAATTTGTGGGAGACCTCTAGATTCCCAGACAAGCACAAAAAAAAGGACTTTTCCTTTCCCCATTTTTCCTGTCTGTTTCCATTCCCGTTTCCTTTTTCCTTTTCAGGAGCAGCACTGATCTCTGCTCTCTGTGACCAGAGACAGGACTTGAGGGAGTGACTGGAGCTGTGTCAGGAGAGGTTTAGGCTGGATATTAGGAAAAGGTTCTACCTCCAGAGGGTGATTGGGTGCTGGAACATCTCCCCAGGGCAGTGATCATGGCCCCAAGCCTGACAGAGCTCAAGGAACATTTGGACAACGCTCTCAGGCTCATGGTGGTATTGTTGGGGTGATTTGGTGGTTCTTGTAGGTCACTTCCAGCTCAGGATATTTTATGATTCTATGATTTTTTTCCCCCTCCATATTTTCCATCTGCCTATTTCCAACAATTTTTTTTTAATAGCTGTGTACCAGACTTGGTGCTATGTGGGATAACTCAGCAGGCCAAATCATCCATTTCTGCAGGGATTTCTGCAGGAACTTGGGGTTGTCCTGTGCAGGGCCAGGCATTGGTCCTGATGATCCATGTGTGGGTCCCTTCCAGCTCAGGATATTCCATGAGTTTCAGACAGTGACAGACCTGAATGAAATCTCCACCACTAGCAAAGCAGCAGGAGATCTGCCTCTTTTGTGTAACATACTCTGGGCTGTAACTGTACTTGTTTGAACTATGCCAAACTTCCTCAATACAGGATATCTCCTGCTTTCCACTGAGAAATCCTCCTAATTCTGATATTCCAGTGAGTGACTACTGCAGGTATTTAATAAAGATGTAAATTAAAAACACTACTAAAATATCCTGCATATTCCAAGAGCAGAGCTGCAAGAAGTTTCCTGATGATAGTGGCACTTCTGGGCAGAAAGTCAGGGAGCTGCAAGAAGTTTCCTGATGGTAGTGGCACTTCTGGGCAGAAAGTCAGGCCTTAGAACTCAAAAACATATGAAAACCAAAGTAAAACTGATGTGACTATTCCCACAGGAAATAAATTGGGTTAAATATGCCTCTAGATAGCCACAAAAATGTGGAAAAGAGCATAAACTAAGAGAGTCAGTCTCTGTTGTCCCTGCCAGTGGCAGGGGGGGGAGCGAGATGATCCTCGAGGTCCCCAAACCATTCCATGATTCTATGGTTATCCCCTCAGATCCTAGAGACAACATTTCCATTGCCAGACTTACAAGAACATTGAGTTCCTTTTATTCCACTTACTTAACTCTGATGCCTGCAACAATTTTCCTCCAGTTTTATCTTTCCTTCCTTGGCTTGACCAAATATTTTTCTATGGCAAAGAAGTTTTGCTCCAGCCATTGGCTGTTTTTTCTGCTCCATCAAACTCCTTTTGTCTTTGGATTCCAGTGCTAGATCTCCTAGTGCTTCTGTTATTTAAACCAATCTAACAAAGCAGATACAAAGCACTGGCAGCACTTCAGTGTTCTCATGCTCAAAGTAGACACCATAAGTCCAGATATTAGACATATCTGCTGACAGAACTTTTCCAGAAGGTTAGTTCTCTCTTACAGCAGTGTGACCTGGAAAGAAGAACATGAGCTCTAAATCCAGGCTTACAGTAAATGTGAAAATAAACCACAATGTATTCACCTGAGGTTTGGTTGCCAGGAAAAATATGATGATGATATGTCCAAGGCCAGGCTGGATGGGGCTTGGAGCAACCTGGTCTAGTGGGAGGTGTTCCTGTCTATTGCAGGGGTTGGAATGAGGGGTTTGGGTTGGGAGGGACCTTAAAGCTCATCTTGTTCCAACTCCCTGCCCTGGGCAGGGACACCTGCCACTAGCCCAGGTTGCTCCAAGCCCTATCCAACCTGGTCTGAAACACTTCTAGGGTTGGGGCAGCCACAGCTTGTCTGGGCAACCTGTGCCAGTGTCTCACCACCCTCACAAGGAAGAATTCCTTCTTAATATCTAACCTAAATTTCCCCTCTTTCAGTTTGAACCCATTCCCCTTTGTCCTATCACTCCAGTTCCTGATGCAGAGTCCTCTCCAGCTCCCTTGTAGGCCCCATCAGATCCCAGAAAGCTGCTCAGAGGTCTCCACACAAACCTTCTTTTCTCCAGGCTGAACAGCCCCAACTTTATTAGCCTGCCTTTGTAGGGGAGGTGCTCGATCTTCTTAGCAACTTTGTGGCCTCCTCTAGACTTACTCCAACAGTTCCATGTTCTTCTTATGTTGAGGACACCAGAACTGTGTGCAGTACTCCAGATGGGATCTCACAAGAGCAGAGCAGAGGGGGAGAATCACCTCCTTTGACCTGTTGTCCACACTCCTTTGGATGCAGAAATATAAATAACAACTCATTTTCCTGACCATAATTTTGTCATGTTGATTGCTTATTTCAGTGCCTTTCCAGACAGTTTGGTGGGAACATGACAGCAATTCTAGCATCTGACATGGGAAGGACTTTAACTAAGTGTATTCTTTTTTTTGGCAGGAATTTGAATCTATTGTGAATGCCTCTGGAGAACATGGCATTGTTGTCTTCTCGCTGGGCTCCATGGTCTCTGAGATCCCTATGAAGAAAGCCAAAGAAATTGCAGATGCCTTGGGAACAGTCCCTCAAACGGTAACATTTCCCTCTTGCCCTTCCAGCAGAGCAGTTCCACACTGTTTTCAAACACAGTACCTGATTATCTTCAGCTACCTGTGTGCTGGGGCTTCTCTTCTTCCCCCTGCTGAGAACTGACATGGTGTTTGCTTCTCTTGACAGGTTTTGTGGCGATACACGGGGCAGGTGCCCCCCAACCTGCCCAAGAACGTAAAGCTTGTCAAGTGGCTGCCACAGAATGATCTCCTGGGTAGGTCTGAGAAACCTTGAGCGATACCAATGTGTTTATTTTTCCCCAGTACTGCTGTACTGGATAAAAAGAAACTTGTACAGCCCCCTTAGCATCATCTGTGGGTCACAGGCCTTGTGAGTTACCATCATATGTCCTCATCACTGTGTGTTGCAAGTCTTCCTTACAGACTGTGCTGTTGGAGACAGAGCTTGTCTTTTAGAAATTTCCCTGATAGCACCTGCAGAATTGCTGAATTGTGAAACAACTCCTTTTAGAAAGGTGTTCCAACACCTGAGTACTCTTCCAGTCCGAAATGGGAGTCTTTATCTCTAACTAATCAGTCTTAGATGCCCAGCTGGGTTTTTGTCATGACCAAAGAGGAAATTTATGGCCCCTATGTGAGCATTTCCAGAGAGGTCTTTGGGCTTTTCAAGTGGTGAAATTGTCTGTGCTGTTGCCAGGAGAGCATTGCTGTTGTCAGGTTCAGCTGTGAGAGATCTTCACAACCAGCAAATGGAAGACATGGTGAAACAGTAATCAACGGTAACATCCTCTTTAACGTCTCCTAGTTCTGATTTAGTCCTAAAATCTGACAAGCCTTGGAGGATTATCCAGAGGTTACCCAAACCAAGACAGAGCTCTACAACCCAAGGTTCCTTCAATCCCCTGCTCTCTGCAGCCCTAAATAATGATGTGCATGACAGCCCAAAGTTCTTGATTTATACCAACCAGTGTCATTTTTTGGGCAAGTTTTCCCCCAGGGGTGTGTTCCTACGAGTTAATAAATCCAAGAGCTAAGCAAGCCTGTCTTTTCCTCCACAGCTCACCCTAAGACTCGTGCCTTTATCACCCACGGAGGCTCCCACGGTGTTTATGAGGGCATATGCAACGCGGTGCCCATGGTGTTGATGCCTTTGTTTGGAGACCAGATGGACAATGCCAAGCGAGTGGAGTCACGGGGAGCAGGACTGACACTGAACATACTTGAAATGACCTCAAAGGACATCTCCACTGCCCTGAAAGCAGTTATTAATGACAAAAAGTCAGTAACACAGCCTTTTTCCTCTGCTGTTGTGTAGCACCAGCACACTGACTTTCAGCTTAGCAGAATGTTAATCTATTCTTCTATGCTTTTTTGTATCAAAGTTAGGTATGTGCTAGCAGCTTCTTCCATTGAGCAGCTGGTGCTTGGCCTGAGTTAACCTTGTCCTGTCCCTGTGTAATCATTAGGTGACAAGAACTGGCTGATAGGAGAGCATGCAGGTATCAAGGGATGCAGGTGTCCAAGAAGATGGGGTATAAATGCAGTGGAAGAAATGAAGCTGACAAAAAGATGTGCCACCTGGTTAAAGCCAAATTCACCAGGCAGTGATGGAGAGGGTTCTGACACAGCATGGCAGGAAAAGCAACTGCTGAAGGGAGATGTGGCAAACAGCTTTTGTTCCCCAAACCAGTGGTGACACCAGCCTGAAAAGGTTGAATGGCTGATTTTGTTGGCATCAGGCTTGCTCAAAGATGCTGTCTGCACTGCAGCAGGAGAAAGGAGGCAAGTAACAGTGCCCCAGAGCATTCCAGAGGCTGCACTGCATCAGGAAGCATTGCCATGCAGCTGGCAGGGTTTACCAACCATAGCTATTATCACTCTTTTATCTTACAGATGAGTTTTCTCAGTCACTTCTTCCCTGCTAGTGCTCATGAGGAGCTGTGTGAGCACAGTCAGCTGCTGCCTGGCTCAGCAAGGCTGGACAATTCCGGCACAGAGCAGGAGGAACATATAGGGATACACTGAGGAAGTAGAGGGAACATCATGGCATTGCAGTTAGCATGCCCAGTGTTTTCAGGCACCACAGAGAAAAGGAGCTGAAAGATATGAGAGCTCTTCCCTGCTGCCATTCTTTGTGGCATTAGAGTTTCTCAGTCCTTGACATCTCCATCAAGTTTCTGAGAAACAGCAACTTAGTGACTTGTTTCCTAATCACTGTTCTTACAGTAATAATAATGATGATGCAGCTTGATCTTGAAAAGCTGGATGGCTCTTCTACAGCCAGTCTCACATTTCAGCCAGATACTTTCATCCCAGAGATTTTGCTGAGAGCTGAAACTAACCTTTTTTTTTGTAGTTGAACACAGCACATTTTTTTGGCCCATAACTTTGTCATTATCCTTCTCAAAGGGTGGGAGTGGGAGGAAAACACAGTTAGAGAAGCCTCCAGTGGGTCATCAGGCAACTGACATTGCATCCCTTTTATTTCTGGGGGCTCAGTCTCAGCAGCACAAGTCATTGACCAAAGAAGCTGTGGCTGCCCCATCCCTGGAAGTGTCCAAGGCCAGGTTGGATGAGGCTTGGAGCAGCCTGGTGTACTGGAGGGCATCCCTGCCCATGGAACAAGGTGGTCTTGAAGGTCTCTTCCAACCCAAACCATCCTGTGATTCTGTGATTGAAAACACCCAACCTCTTTTCTTGACAGATACAAAGAGAACATCCAGCGCCTCTCAGACCTTCACCTCGACAGGCCCATCCACCCCTTGGACCTGGCTGTGCACTGGGTGGAGTTTGTAATGAGACACAAAGGAGCCCCACACCTGCGACCTGCTGCTCATGACCTCAACTGGATCCAGTACCACTCCCTGGATGTCATTGCCTTCCTCCTCGCGGTAGTGCTCCTCTCCCTCTTCATCTCCCTGAAGTGCTGCCTGTGCTGCTGCCGCAGGTGGTGCTGCAAGAAGGGAAGAACAAAGAAGCCAACCAAATCCAAGACCCACTAGCAGATTAAAACAGTGGTAGGAGATAAGGTCTTTGCTCCAGAGCAGAAGGATCAAAGAACAACTCAAATTTCACTACAATAAATGCTGATTTTTCAGTCCAGAAATAATAGGGATCCCTTAAAACAGCACCATGAGAGGGGTTGTTTCACTGAGCTAATTTGTGCCGTTAATTAAGAATCAGTTGTTAAAAATACTTTGTGTAGGAGTGCTTCAGTCACTTGGGAAGGTCTGAGTGTGACATCCAAGGCTCCTGGCTTCCACCTCTTGAAGTACAGAGGACTCACAGTGACTTTTTATTTCAACCTCTACGTGCAATGGAGGTATATTATAGGGATTTTGGGATACTTCAAAGGCTTTAGGAGAACCATCTAGTGTGAGACTGTCAGGTTCATCAAGCACTTTGAAATCTTAGTGTAGCTGCTGTGGTAGGAAAGGCAAATGTTAAACACTGGCAATGTGTGTCACATAAGCCAAGCTTATCTCAAGCACATCTTAAATGGCTTTTGTGTGTGTGTTTACAATATCCTGAACAAAATGAAGGGTTTTGTCAGGGAAGCTGTTGTAAAGCCAGTGGTGTTCCACCCAAATTCCCCACCAGGCAGAGTGCTGTATCTGGAGCTTACCTTTTAGGTGGTGAGATCTTTGTAAGCTTTGTTTGTAAACCCCAATTGATTTACTCTTTGTAAGTGATGTTCAGGTAAAGACCCAAACCCCAGTCCTAAAAATAAAGCCTAAACATATCTGGTCTTGTGTTTTCTACCTTGAGAGATATGGGGGTGGATCATGGAGAGAGAGCTGGAGAAGGGAAAGATTCAATCCCCCCCCAGTGTGGAAGACACTTTGGTACACAAAACCCACTGCTCAGCATCTTGTCTTGCTGCCTGGTGACTTGGTCCTTGCTGAGAGGTTACATTCAGTTCTGGTCCCCACAGTTCAGGAGGGATATTGAGGTGCTGGAGCAGGTCCAGAGAAGAGCAACGAGGCTGGTGAAGGGACTCGAGCACAAGTGCCATGAGGAGAGGCTGAGGGAGCTGGAGTTGTTTAGCCTGGAGAAGAGGAGGCTCAGGGGAGACCTTATCACCCTCTACAACTCCCTGAAAGGAGGTTGGAGTCAGGTGGGGGTTGGTCTCTTCTCCCAGGCAACCAGCAGGAGGACAAGAGGGCACAGACTCAAGCTCTGCCAGGGGAGGTTTAGGTTGGATATTAGGAAGAGATTTTTTTGTGGAGAGAGTGATCAGGCATTGGAATGGGCTGCCCGGGGTGGTGGTGAATTCACCGCCCCTGGAGGTTTTGAAGATGAGACTGGATGTGCACTTTGTGCTATGGTCTAGTAACCATGGTAGGGTTGGACTTGATGATCTTGGAGGTCTTTTCCAACTCAGTTGATTCCATGATTCTATGATCTGGTTACTGCCATAGCCCTCGGGCTAATATTCAGGGTCAGAGCTGGGGTATCCCAGCACATCACACAGAGCAGCACAGGTGTCCTGCTAAGGACCTGGTGATGCTGTTTGAAAGAGCAGGTGCTTCAGAGAAAGATGTTAAGTTCAAGGCAGCCTCTCCTCAGCCTGTCCCCACAGAAGTGCCTGAGTCCATGGATATCACATCACCCACAGCCTGTCCAGAGCTGATGCTGACTGTGCTTTTCATCCTCTGCCTTTCCCTCTCCTCCTCCTGCCCACAGCAAACAGAAGGAAACCCTTGGGCCAGGCAGAGACTCCCCATGGCGCAGGAGAGCTGAACTGCTTTGAAAATACAGCTTTTGCAGCTCCACACACTCCTGAAGTGACAGCTCTGGCTGTCCCCATGGTCCTGGCTGGAGCCAGGTGACAGCAGTGCATCTGGAGATGTGACCCAGTGAGACCTCACAGTGCTGTCACACCACCAGATTCAGTCACCTCTGAGCGCAGAGCTCTCTTCCAGCAGCTGTCTGAGGCAAAAAAACCCCCACTTTAAAATGTCCTTGTGGAGAAGTTCTCCAAGTACTCTGCTGCAAACAGGCTCTGGATCAATCTGGTGACTTTCTCTGCATGGACAAGGGGAAAACCCTCTGATTTCAGATCAGATGAACAGAATTAAGAAAGAAATATAAAAATACGCCAATTGCAGCTCAAAACCCCTTTGGTAGGGGAAGAAATACTGAGCGAAAGGAAGAATCCAAATGCCCATCCCATGGCTTTCATTTCCCTTTGGAAAGATCTTTACCAAAGCCAAAGCAAAACAGCACCAGAAACAAGGTATCCTCCTCCTCTTCCTCCTCCCCTTTTCCTTCACTCCTCTTAGCCTCGACTACTTTGTCCTGTTCTTTATTTTCCCTTCGAGAAACGCTGTGCAGGGCCAGGACTGAATGAGCATAACCGAGTCCAGCAGAGGTCACTCCGGCATCAGCAACAGGAGGAAGCAAGGAAAAGGCTCCAACCAAACCAGCTTCCAACCAAACCAGCGCGGGTCGAGGGTGCAAGTCGACACCGACTTACTCGTCCATCTGTGCTCCAGGAATAAGGACCCTGCTGCAGGATGATTTTCAGAGTGAATTAGGAGCCAAAGTGCATGGGACAAGTGGCTTCGGTGCAAAGGAAGAAGCTGCAGCAACACTGCAACATGGTCCTCCCAAAACTTCCAAAAGGAAGGGTTAAGCACAGAGTGATGTCTCCTCTTATTACCCATTTGCTGGGGGCTCTACAGGGTCATGCTGCCCCTTAAACAGGGCAGAGCCTCCAGCCCAACCTCCCTTACTAGGAGATGGAAAACATCAGCATCCACATTTTGAAGTGTCAGAGCTGAGACTGGGTCACTTCCCAAAAAGGGGAGACTGAGGCAGGGCCAACTATTGTTCCTCTCCCCGAGCTTCCCAGAGCCCCAGGCACTGCAGCCTGAACTTTTCCAGCTTCAAATATCTGGGTTTAAACACCTGCCACATGATAGCAGCCAAATTCCCTTTACTGTCCTTGGAGAAAGAGGATACAAATACCTCCTGCCTAAGCATCACTGAGCACTCATGTGACCCTCCCTCAGAGCTGCCAGATCCGAAGAGAGCTGTTGTTCTCTGCTCCCACCCAGGGACTTTCTCAGTGTTTATTTTACTTTTGCCTGGATTTTAACAGCCAGTAAGACTGGGAATTAAAAAAGCAGTGGGTGCTCCCAGTCCTTCTGGTGCCCCTGGGACCTCCCTGGCTGTAAAACGTGGGTGAGATCCTCTTCAGTTTGGTTTGGTGGTGCCCTGGGAGACACAGCAGCACTGGCTCGGGTGGGAGAATGCAGTCAGCATCTCTCCCTGCTTCTCCCCAGCCAGCCCACGGGAAATGATAGGGATTGCTGGCATTTTTCTGCAGCCACAGGGTTTCTGCAGCCTCACCCCAGCCCTCCCATCCTCAAGAGCAACAGCAAAGCTTTTCCACTGCCATGGAAGCTCTGGGTGGCTCTTGGGCTTCTCCACCTCCCCAGAGTGTGGGTTCATGGAGACTCCTGACCCACAGGGACACACCAGGGTGCTCAGAGCCCTGTCCAACCTGGCACGGAGACTCCTGACCCACACACCACGGTGCTCAGAGCCCTGTCCAACCTGGCCTGGAACACTGTCAGGGATGGAGCAGCCACAACTTCTCTGGGCAACCTGTGCCAGTGCCTCAGCAGCCTCACAGGGAAGAATTTCTTCCTAATATCTCATCTAAACCTACTCTCTGTCACCTTAAAGTCATGCACCCTTATAGATGAGTCCTCATAAATAATTAGGCTTGTTATTCTCAGGCAGTGACCTGCACAGGAGCTCTCCCTTCTCCTCACCTGGGCAGGGCTCCAGGGCTGGACACCTGCTGGTAAGTCCTTTGCTCTGAGAGCTCATTTTGGTGCTCACACTCAGACCTGCAATTTTTCTAACCTTTATACTTGATCTTTTGAGTGGCTTTCTAAAAACACTTACTGCTGCTGGTACCCAGCCAGGACTCCAGTTTGGGGGGCTTTCATGGGAGCTCCCAAACTCCCTTGCAGCCTCATTTACCCCCCTGTGGGAAAGCAGATGAGGTGTGTGAGGTTAGCAGATGTGGTGTGCATCCCACCTCCCCAAGGAGTGCAGGGATGGGAAGGCAACCTTCCAGGGGCACCACTTAACTAAAACCACTGAAACCCACCCCAAAACCACATGCACCCACAAACAAACTCACCCTGGGATTGCAGGTCCAGAGGCCTGGGAACATGAGGAGCAGTGCAGAGGGGCACCAACATGCAGCCCCCATGGGAAGTGGCCGAGGCTGCCTCACAAGATGTTACTGCATCATTTTCCAGAGCATCCCAGTGAGTGAGCCTGGGATTTGGCACTGAAGATGTCCCATCCCATGACAGCTCGGGGCCTCAGCACTGACTGGAGGATGACACCAGCAAGCCCAGGTGCTTTTAGCTGGAGAAACCACACAGCTCTTCAACTCATTATCACCTGCAGAGGAGCTTTTTAGGAGTTATTTATAGGTAGGTGTGATGGAACTAGGGGAAAAGCAAGTGCCAAAACAAATCAGGGCCAAGATGCAGGACAGCCTCTCCCATCAAAGGGAGGGATGTGCTCTGCTGAGCCTGGAGAGGAGCAAACTGCTCCAGCTTCAGCATTTAGGCTCAGTGAGGCAGGTTAAACCCATAGAATCATTTAGGTTGCCAAAGTTCTTGGAGATTATCTAGTCCAACTCAACCCAGCACCACCATGGTCACCACTAACCACGTCCCCAAGTGCCACATCCACGTATTTTTTGACCACTTCCAGGGATGGTGACCTTCCCTAGGCAGGCTGTTCCAATGCCTGACCACCCTTTTGGTGAAGGAATTTTTCCTGATATCCAACCTGAACTTCCCTAGGCACAGCTTGAGGCCATTTCCTCTCCTGTCACTTGTTCCCTGGGAGCAGAGCCCAAGCCCCACCTGGCTGCACCTCCTGGCAGGAGCTGAAGGGAGCAAAAAGGTCACAGCTCCCACTAAAAGCCACAGTCACACTATTTTGCTTTGACAGATCCTAGCAAGTGCTGCTGACAGCAATTCCCTTTCTATTAAGGAAGGGTGAAAGGTTTCATATGCCAGATCTGATTGCTTGGGATGATAAA